CTCGCTCTCGCTCTCTCCCTGCTTGCCCAAACTCTGCTTCCTAGGAAGGATCAAGGACCGGCTCGCTCAGCCCACGGGGCCCTTTCCCCACAAGGGGGAGCCAAGGCCAGGGGGACCGGCCCTCCGCTTACGACCAGACTTCCCACAGCTAAGAAGTGGGGTTGCTAAATGAGCCACACCTGATTATTTTTTTTGGGGGGAGGCTTTTTTTGCCACGGTTGTTAACGGACAGCACTTAGACTTACAACCCCTCATAGGAGCCTTTACAAGACTCTCCGGTGGGTTTTAGAGCCAGCGCTATGCAACCAACAGAGTTGGAAAGGACCTTAGAGGTCTTCCAGTCCAACCCCCTGCTCAGTCCAACCCAACAATCTGGCTCCTCCTTTTAATCGATCTCGGAGAGAAGATGTAAGGCTGAGTCAAACCTTAAGTCGGTCAAGATTGAACTCCTGGCGGTGGGCAGTCTCGGTCTGCCTTCTCCCCACTGGGCCTCCAGGGCTCCAGGGTTAAGTGAATCCCTGCCGTTGGTCAACGAATCAGGCAGTCGTTAAGCGAATCTGGCATCCCCATTGACTCTGCTTGTTAGAAGCCGGCTGAGAAAGTCACGCATGGTGATTGCGTGGCCCCGGGATGCCACAATTGCCTTCCACCCATGGGGATTTGGATCGGGTGGCCCTGGGGATGCTGGGATGGTCATAAGAACGGGGACTGGTCGTAAGTCACTTTTTGCAGTGCTGCTGCCACTTTGGTGGTCGCTAAATGAAGGGTGGTAGGTAGAAGAATTGCCGGTTCCCCCCAGCTCTGCAAAGCTTCCGGTCTCCTGGACGACGGTGCCAAGGAGATGCGCCCAGAGGGCCTTTTCCTTCCTCCTTGAAGACGTTTCGCTGCTTCTCATCCGAGAAGCTTCATCGGAGCCGTAGCGAAACGCCTTCAAGGAAGAAAAAAAACCCCAAGGACGTCTGGCTGCCTCTGGGACCCCCGGAGAAGCTCCCGAGAGGAAGAAGACGGGCCCCTCCCAGCCGCCTTTCCCTGCTCTTCCCGGGCGGAGATGCCAGGCGGAGATATCCACTCCTGCCCCAGGGGAGCGAGGAGGGAGCGGAACCTGCCCCCCCCCCACCGGCCCTCAGCACGGCCCGGCCAAAGGGTCCCTCGGACGGCTGAGGGAGGCCGGGGAGCCCTGCAGAATGGAAACACGGCAGAGTTTTGGCAGCTGCCAGGCGAGGGGCCCCTTTTGCCGCCTCCACATCCTGTTTACCAAGGAAACGCTCCGTTTTCAGGGCCCCCTGCCTTTCGTGGGCTCTCCACTCCCACGGCCCTCCTCCTCCGCTGGTGGGTGTTGCAGCCTGGGCCTTTCCTCGGCTGCCTCCCCCTGCCAGAGGGAGTGGAGCATCCCCTGAGCACGCCGAGAGAGAGAGAGGGGGGGGGTCCCCTCCACACAGCCACCGAAGGCAGCCGGCTCCTGCACCCGCTTCGAGGGGAAGAACGGAGGAGGGGATGCCGGAAGACCCCAGACCTGGAGGGTTCCCTCCCCCCCCACCCCTCAGTTCCAAGCTCTCGGGCTCGGGGAGGCCCTTGGCGAGGCCCGGCCTTTGGTCGGCTGGGCTCCACCCTCCTAGGGACTAGAAACTTGCTGGAATGAAGTCAGGATTCTCAGGATTCTCCATGCTCAGGTAGACTTTCAGACGTCCGTGCTGGACCATCCCTCCCAGGAGTTTTCTTCATCAGGAAGAGCTGTGGGGGTCTCGCTGCCCGAACCCCCCTGCCCCCATTTCCTCCTGCTCCCGCCCAGCTCACCGTGATCAGGAGCAGTGGCCTCCGCCGCCTTTGGCCTGGAAGACTCGAGCGGGGAGGGGCGGGGTGGGGGGGCTCACCCTATGTTGATTTCCCTGCACCAGGGTCCTTTTGTCACCCTCCCCCCACCCCCAATAAAAATGGCAACTTCCCCCGTGTCTTTCAGGCTCCTTCCCAGGTGGATGTGGGGGGCTCTGCCTTATCCAGGGCTCCGGGACAGCTTCATGCGAGGGAACTATTCTCTAGAGCGGGGGTCTCCCACCATGGCCCCTGTAAGCCTGGAGGACTTCAACTCCCAGAATTCCTCAGCTAGCCATAAATGATAGAGTTGGAAGGGACCAGAAGGGTCTTCTAAGTCAGGGGTCTCCCACCATGGCCCCTTTAAGCCTGGAGGACT